AACTGAGCTGTTATGCAGATGGTGGTGCAGGATTTTGCTGAGCTCTTCAGGATGGTCTTGGCAGCAGTTTGTATTTCTTGCTTTGCTGCCAGTAGCTGTACTTAGATCTCTCCAAGTGAATGAGGCTGAGCAGAACTAGTAAGTGGAGGAGATGACTTTGGAAGGGATGCTTTCCCTGCAGACCTTACACAGGTACTAGCTCTGGCTGCAGAGGTGTCTGGCTGGTGGGCACCCCAGCTTGCTGGGGTGCAGGATGGGCTGGGGCTGTGTCTTGGTGAGCTACTAGCTCTGGTCCTGCAGTGTGCTGGAGCGAAGGCTCAAAGAAAAGCTGTGCAGGCAGAGGGGAAAAGGGCTTATGAACTTGGCCTTGCTCAGGAGTAGCATCTCTGTCTCCAGAGCAGTAGGGAACAACCTGTGGGGCTGCTGTTAGGACATAGATTATGTGATGGGGCACTTTGTCACCAGCACTTGCAGAAAGTGTGGCTGTGCTTTGTGGGAGGACAATGACTTGCTTGTATTTCTCTGACTTTGGTGTTTGCTGGGGCTGAATTTGAAAATTGAATGGCCCAGACAGGGCTGAGGGTGGAGGCACTGCTCGTATTGATAAGGTGTGAATCAGAGCTGGTGTGACTTTATACTGCACTCTTAAAGGAAATGCTCAGGAAAAAACAGATTTATTTGCTTGTACAGCATGCTCATGTGAGCAAAGCAGGGCTTGTCCGATGAGTTTGCCCTCTGTCCCTGTAAGGCAGTGCCTGTGCCCTGGGTGAGCTGTCCTGCTGGAGAACCACCTCTGCCCTTGTGTAGTGAGGTGGGTTAGGTGTGGAAATGCTGATAGGATATGTACCAGGCATATTGATTAAGTGGGCTGAAGGTTCCTGCAGGCTTTTGTGACTCAGTGCTGGTGTGGATTTCAACAGGGTGCTGTTGAGACAGTAAACCTACATGGTGTGACTCTGGAGTCATGCCTGGATGTGCTTTTATTTACAAAGTTTGGACATCAGCTGCAATAAAGCTGCTTCAGCACAAGCCCTCTAAACCCCCCTGGGCCCTAAGGCTCAGGGCTTGGATAACTGATCTTCAGTGAGCTGTGCATGTCCATGGTGTCTTTACTCTTGGTGCTGAGTTTGGTGTGTTCTGTGTATTCATATATATCTACAAATGTGCATGCTGCAGTCATGCAAAGGAGATACGCTGTCAGAGACACTCCTGAGCATGTAACTGCTTTCAGCAGTGCAGAGGAGGAAACTCTTACTCTGGAGATGATGCAACTCAGGACTGGTGGATGCTGACTTAATTCATATCTACAGCTTATGTAGAAAGTATCTTTAGGTATCCTGCCTCTGCTTTATTTAACAACAAACTTATAAGGAGCTTTAAGCAATTAAAGTACATAATTTTATTGAATTGTTGGGGTGCTTGCCTTGTACCTCTTCTCTATTTACTCTGGAGAGATTCAAATATCCACCTCATTCCTGTAGATCACTGCTGTGGATTTCCTGAGCTTTATTTGATTGAGAAACAGGGGTCCTCTGCCAAACAGAATAAAGGTTATTCTAAATGTTACTGTATACTCAATACTTTCATGCAGATTTTTAAGAAAATACAAACTCAGCATGTTTCCCACATGAGGAAAACTTAGGTAGATTGTTACCCTGGTTAATGTTTGGCTCAGATGAAAACATCTAACTAGTTTCAAGTGTCATGGGACTCTTAGTAACCCCAAGGTGTTTGCTTTTTATGGCTCTAAAAATTGTGTACTGCTGGAAGCTCATCACCTGTGGAATAAAACTGGGGCAGTGGCTTACTATTGACTTAACAAATGATTCATCTGTGCTGGTTACTTCCTGCAGCATCCATCAGTGGGTAGTTCCACTGAAATGCTCTGGCATGAATGTGTGCATGGCTAGATCCATCCCAATCGCAGCTGGAAGCATTTCAATTTGGGGCTAATGAAGCTCTGGGGACTCTGTCTTCACTGGAACTTCTGTGCAAATTGCTAGTTGTTGCAATGCCAGCACAGATGGAGCTGCTTCCCTGGGCTGGTATTAACACTTGCTTTGAGAGGGAATGGAGATGCAGAGTGAAAAATAACAGTGGCTAGGGAAAACCTTGAGTTGTCACTGTGGCAGCAAAAGTATGGTAGAGGGCCGAGAGGAGGATCTGAGTAATGTAGATCCTACTGAAGAAACTGGCTCCCTGGGAACATGAGGAAACATGGTAGTTATTGCAGTCAGCCTTGGATTACCTGGAGGAAGCAGAATAATCCAGACCAAGCAGACACTTGCACAATAGAAAAATCATGTACAATAGGTTATAAGAGCATGTAGCAAAGGGGTAGTGGAGCTGAGGTCATTCAGTCTGTGTTGCCATGTGGCAATGCACAGCAAAGTCAGGTTTGGAGGTACTACCCTGTTCAAGCAGAATGTTTGAGGGCACTGCCTCTCGGACCTTGTCTTTAGTGGATGGAGGCCTGCATGGCACAAATGGTGGGCATGAGCTGCTCCTGGAGGCAGCTCACACTCTCTGCAGCCCAGGCTGCAGCCCAGACAGTCTGCCCGTGAGTAACTGAGGTGATTATAGTGCCATAGGCTTTGGAACAAGAAGTCTTGTGTTGAGGCCATTGAAAAAAGAGGGTTTAAAAATCATTATTTGAGGGAGTGAAGTAGCTTCTCTTGATGGGATCTCAGATCTTGATGGTAAGGGATCAAGACCAAACCCTGGGACTGTGTCTGTGCTGTGTCTTCAGGACATGCAGTTCATGATGTGGCAGGCGCTTGACTGCTTCTGTACATGTTAGGGTTACCGTAGCTCTGGGAATATCCCCTTTTCTTCCACTGCAGGAGAAGAAACCTGCCCAAGGTTTTAGCAGCTGAAGTGTGAAGCATGGGTAACTTTCTCTTTGCTTGCAAGTTGGGCATTGTGGTGTTTTGGGTACTCTGGACTGCCTGC